CAATTAACTTTATACACATTTGGTTAACTCTGTTAAGTAGAGTTCAACAATTAGTATGAAGAAAAAATATAAGTAAAATAAAATAAAGGAAAAAAATTTAAAAATTAAAAAACCTGTTCCTCAACAGTCAAGGCAAGGACTGTTCAATGTCATTGTTTCTCAAAGTGTCAATTTCACTTTTTTTTTTTTTTTTTGACAGGCAGAGTTAGACAGTGAGAGAGAGAGAGACAGACAGAGAGAAAGGTTTTCCTTTCCACCGGTTCACCCTCCAAATGGCCGCTACGGCTGGCGCACTGCGCTGATCTGAAGCCAGGAGCCAGGTGCTTCTTCCTGGTCTCCCATGCAGGTGCAGGGCCCAAGCACTTGGGCCATCCTCCACTGCACTCCCTGGCCACAGTAAAGAGCTGGACTGGAAGAGGAGCAACCAGGACAAAATCCGGTGCCCCGAACAGTACTAGAACCCGGTGTGCTGGTGCAACAGGCAGAGGATTAGCCTAGTGAGCTGCAGCACCGGCCTCAATTTCACTTCTACAGGTTGCCTTTTAGGTGCTCTATTAGTTATCACGGATCAAGGGAGAACACATAGTATTTGTCCTTTTGGGACTGGCTTATTTCACTAAGTATGATGTTTTCCGGTTTCACCCATTTTCTTGCAAATGACTGTATTCCTTTTTTTTCCTGTTGTGTAGTATTCCATGGTGTACATATCCCATAATTTCTTTATCCAGTCTTTGGTTGATTCCAGTCTTTGGGTTGATTCCATGTCTTTGCTATTGTGAATTGAGCTGCAGTAAACATGGAGGTACAGACATGGCTCTTTCATGTGCTGATTTTATTTCCCTTGGGTAAATTCCCAGGAGTGGGGTGGCTGGGTCCTATAGTAGGTCTATATTCGGGTTTCTGAGGTTTTCTTTTTTAACCCATTCAGCCAATTGTGTCTTTTAACTGGAGAGTTGAAGCCATTTACATTCAAGGTGACTAGTGATAAGTAACAACTTTGCCCTGCCGTTTTTCCTTTAATATTCCTATTTTTACTTTGGATTTAGAGTTTTTCTGCCTTCACCTTCTTTCATAGTGATGACCCTGTTTGTGTGTGTAGCACATCCTTAAGCATATTTTGTAAGGCTAGACAGTGGTGACAAATTCATTCAATTTCTGTTTGTTATGGAAAGTCCTTATTTCACCTTTATTTGTAAATGAGAACTTTGCAGAATATAGTATTCTGGGTCAAAAGTTTTTTTCTCTTAAACTTGGAATATATCTCACCATTCTCTCCTATCCTGCATGGTTTCTGATAAGAATTCTACTATGAGTCTAATTGGAGATCCTCTGAAGGTAATTTGGCATTTCTCTCATGTCTATTTTAGAATCCTTTCTTTATGTTTTACTCTGGAGAGTTTTACTACAGTGTGTTGTGGAGAAATCTTTTCTGGTCATGTCTATTAGGAGTTCTATGTGCTTCCTGGACTTGGATGTCCCTTTCTTTCTCCAAATTAGGGAACTTTTCTGTTATTATTTCACTGAAAAGGCCTTCTAATCCTTCCTCTTTCCACACCTTCAGGGACTCTGAAGACCCATATATTGGGTCATTTGATCAAGTCCTGTAGATCTCCAGCAGTGTTTTTTAGTTTTCTAATTTCTTCTTATTTTTGGCCTGACTGTAATATTTCCAGAGATTTGTCTTCTAGCTAGGTCTTCTCTCTTCTGCTTCACCAACTCTGTTGTTAGGACTTTACACTGCATTTTTATTTGATCTATTGAATTCTTCATTTCTAGTATTTCATTTTGATTTCTCTTTAAGATCTCAATTTTATGGAAAAATTTTTTATTCATATCTTGTATAGATTTCTTTTTTTTTAAGATGTATTTATTTATTTGAAAGGCAGAGTTACAGAGAGAGTGAGCAAATGAGATCATCCATCCACTGGCTCACTCCCCAAATGACTGCCATGACCAGAGCTTGGCCAGGCTGAAGCCAGGAGCCAGGAGTTTCATCTGGGTCTCCCACGAAAATGCAGGGGCCCAAGGAATTAGACCATTTACTGCTACTTTCGGTGCATTAGCAGCGAGCTGGATCAGAAGAAGAGCAGCTGGGACTTGAACCAGCACCTGTATGGGATGCCAGCATTGCATGCTGCTGCTTTACCTGCTATGCTGCTACAACAGTCCCTGTATAGTTTTCTATAGTTTATGAATTTGCTTCTGAGTAATCTGATCGTTAGTTTTTTGAATTCATTTCTGGCATTTCCTCAATCTCTTCATCTTCACTTTCAAATATTTAAATGTAATGTTCCTTTGGGGGGGGGTCATAGTGACTTCCTTACTATTTATTGAATATTTTTCTTTATTCTTGGCATTTGTAGAATTTTTTTGTGGGGATCTGGTGGATTTTCTTTTTTCTCTGTGTTTCTGTGGCTTAGTGAGACATCAGTGAATACCAAGAAGTGTGTGCTGGGTGTGGCCAGGGTGCTCTGTTCAGTATTCCAGGATGAGGTAAGTATCCATGTTAGGTAGGAAGTCAGAAATGAGCTTATGTGTGTGTGACAAGGGCCTAAGGAATTGGCATCTACAGCGGTCCAACATCCACATCTCAAAGTCATCCTGATAACCTTCCAGGTGCAGCCCAGTATCTGCACTTCAAAGTCCCGCCTGGATCCTGATGACCTTCCAGGGAGTCCTGACCCTTCTACCTGGCCTGATAAACATCCTTCCTCTAAGACGGGGTGACGCCAGCCAGGCTTCCCCTGTCTGAAAACTTTAGTGGGGAAAAACTCAGAAAGGAATTTTTCATATTTACACCCAACAAGTCCTTGTTTGGGAGGAGAACAAGATGGGGAGAGAAAAGGCTGGAAGGCAAGACCCATCTCCTTAAAAACCCCAGCCTAAATGTGAACTACACACTCTCTCTCAGGTTCTGTCTGGAAAGGTGCCCATCCGTTCTTACAGATGTCCCTACCCTAATAAACCTTGCTATTTTGCTTTCCACTGCTCTCTGTCTCATGCCTGAATTCTTTCTTGTGCGAAGACAAGGACCCTTTGCTTCTCCAGTAACACCCAGAGTAAAACCCCAGTTGGGCATGGTAGCCCTCCTCTGAGTTGATGGACACCCCAGTGTTAATCCCCAGTGTGCTCAGCTCTCATCTGCACTGCTTAATGAGCTGCACATTTGATCTGTGGAGTCTCTCCTGTGAGCCTTGTTCCCTCCGATAATAGCTGTTATAGGTAACTGAGGAGCTCGGATAGTACAGAAAGGTGTTCTGTGGTTTCCCATGATCTAGCCACACTGTGTCTCATCTTATGTAGTCACTGTTTCTCAGACTCAGATCCCAGGGCTCTCTGGGTCATGGATTGTCAGTGGGGCCACTCCACCCATTTAGCCAGTCCTATCTATAATGAAACTCCAGTGTTCCTAGAGCCACTGTATGTAGTCCTCCCAACCAGCTTCAGTGTCATTGGTTCACAGGTGCATAAAGTACCTGTCTACTGCAGCCCCACTCACTTCCTGATAGTGCTGGGTGGTAGGAGAGTCCTACAGGTGGCACTGGTGCGAAGGGGGAAGGAATTCTGAATTGTGGCCCGTGTTGATTGGGTGGATGCAACCCGTTATTTATTGTTGGGCACGAGCATGGGAGGTGGGTTGGCAGCTACCTGCCTGTGTCCCAAAAAAAAAAAAAATGGTGTGAGTCTGTGAGCCCTCCCCACACTGGTTGCAGGTCTCTGCTGTAGCAGGGAGGTGGGGAGGGAAATGGATGTGCCGTCTTTCTTCCCACCTCTGCTGTAGAGAGTTCACATGGAATTTTTTTTTTTTTTTTGACAGGCAGAGTGGACAGTGAGAGAGACAGAGAGAAAGGTCTTCCTTTGTCGTTGGTTCACTCTCCAATGGCCGCCGCGGCTGGCACGCTGCAGCCGGCGCACCGCACTGATCCGAAGCCAGGAGCCAGGTGCTTCTCCTGGTCTCCCATGCGGGTGCAGGGCCCAAGCACTTGGGCCATCCTCCACTGCACTCCCTGGGCACAGCAGAGAGCTGGCCTGGAAGAGGGGCAACCAGGACAGAATCCGGCGCCCCAACCGGGACTAGAACCCGGTGTGCCGGCGCCGCAAGGCAGAGGATTAGCCAATTGAGCCGCGGCGCCAGCCCACATGAAACTTTAAAAGCAGGTCACCAAGCTCTCACTCTAGCTGTATCAGCATTGCCATGGGCCCATGGATTCCCTCTCACTGGTTTGCCAGGGCGGTGTCTTCCATTGTTTTCTATTGTTTATTTGTCCCTCGGCATGGGTCTGGACAATTTCTATTGCTTACCCTGGGTCTCCTACTGGGGTCCCCTCAGAGCTCTGCCCTTTTTAAACATTAATTTCACCCTGCATAAGTCAGATTGTCCTGTCGCTATTCTGCCACCTTGGAACCCCTTCCATTAGTTTTAAAATAGAAACTGTCTCCAGAGAGTTACTGATAGTTTTTATGGGGATCTTCCTTTCTCAATGTTCTTGCAGGAAAAAGGGGTCATTTACACCTGGAACATGCAAACAAGGTTCATGCCTAGAGATGATTGATGATTTATCCCAGACAGCAATAGCAAGCACTGAATAGTGTTCAACTCTATGCAAAACACTGTTCTCAACAATTTACACCTGGTCGTGAGTTAATCATTAATATTTTGAAGCAAGCCCTGTGCTGATTTTTGCAGTGAGGAAATTGAAGTACTGAGAGATGCAGTTAAAAGTACTGAAGTATTAATCCTGAGAGTCCAGACCATGAGTCCATCAACTTTTGAGTAATAGGAATGGCCGGGGAGAGGAAGGAAGGAAGCTCACAGCTGTCCTTTCCTGGAGGACACACTGACACAGGATCTTGACCATCCCTTCACTCATGTGAAGTTCTAGCAGTTCACTTCCACAACCTCCAAAGAGTCACAAGCTGCAGATGGAAGCCTGCCTCGCTTTCAGCTGTGAAATCTGTATCTCTGTTCTGTATAGCCATATCCTAACCTATCAGCCCAATAATATAGTGCCTGGGAGCTCAGAAAATGTATAGAAAGATCTGGCAGACTGTGCACTTAAAAGATCAAGTTTATTTGGTTATTTAAAAAATACCAATCAGCTATCACTGCATCAACTCCTCAAGTCACTTATGGATTTCTAGGTGGACTCGACAGCCACTTAGACTCTATGAAACAGGAAGGATTTCCTCCATTTGTTCTCAGTGCTACAGGGTTTTACCCTCCATAGCTCTACATCAGCTTTATTCTTGGCAATTTGAACAACATCAAATGAAATCTGGAAGGGACTGAGGAACATCACCAAATGTAAATACAAAACCAAGTGTTGGGTCATAGGTAGCTGATTTCACAGCCTGCACGTCAGGTTACTGCTGTTTGCTGTTGGGCTTTCTGAACAGGTTTTTCCATGGCGTTCAATATACAAGTGTATCAAGATCACTTTAAGCCCTGTTTCTTTCAGATGGAGGATCCTATGCTCGTCTCTCACAGATCAAATATTTCCAGCTGCTGCAGTTGCTTGAAAACAGGGAATTGCTTTTGAGGTATCCACAGACCTGGTTAGTTGACTGGGGCTGGTGTCTTGGCAACCTGGAAAGACAAGTCAGTGTGTCAGAGGTTAGATTTGAGGTTTGCAGGGATGCTCTCAAGGTGTGCAGCCCTTTTGCTTTATTTTGTTTTCATATGGCACCCTCCTGTGGTGGTTTCATTTCTACTTCAAGAACAGCTGTTTCTCCCAATAAAAAATAATTAATAGAAAATAATTTCTATAATTTGAACAAACCACATATACAGGGGAAAAAAGCTAAGTATACATAAAGAAGCTCTCTCCTGAGCCCTTTTTAAAAATTTCTTTATTGTTACTTCATTTGAAAGGCAGAGTTAGAGAGAGAGAGAGAGAGAGAGAGAGGTGCAGAGAGAAAGAGAGAGACCTTCCAGCTGCTGGTTCACTTCCCAACTAGCCCCAGTGGCCAGGGCTAGGCGAGGGAGAAGCCACGTAGTTGTCAGGGACACGAGTACTTGAGCCATCAAAAACCAGCAGCTTCCCAGAGTGTGCATTTGCAGGAAGCTAGATTGGAAATGGAGAAGCCAGATTCAACCAGGCACTCCAATATGAGATGCAGGCAGCCCAAGCAATGGCTTAACCCCTAAGCCGATCACTGTCCCTCCTAACTCTTTATTCTCAAAATACTAATGCATCTTCTCACCATTCTCCCCAGTTCTATCTGAAAACTTTTATCTGAAAATTGCTTAACAGTTATCTTTCTTCCCTTCAGCGTCCTCCAGACATCAAGTGATACCAAAAAAAATGTATTTGACAATTATATTATTCATGCAGATACTCATTTTGCTGTGAATTTCTACAGGATGGTAAAAGCAGGGCTGAGAAGGAGAAAACTTGGAAGCAATGAAGCTACTCTTAATTATATTAGGGTTTTTTTTTAGTTATGTAGCCTTTTATTAGCAACTAATATAGAAGGTATCTGTTGTACAATGTGGGTAGTAATTGACTATAATTGGAGACTTATTATATTCTAATATAAATCATTTATAAATGCAATTTCTTTATTAAAAAGCTCCCACCCTCTTTTTTGTTTGTGTACAATTTGCAAAACTATTCTGAAAGTGGGAAACATGTGCACAAGTCTGCAAAGAGTGCAAATTTAGGGTATGGTAAATGCTTTACAAGTTACTTTCCAAAAGCTCTGCAGCAACTGGGCCTTTCCATGGTCATCTTTTTTGATCAAATTATTTCGATGCCAGCCTTCCTTCCACCATCCTAAACTATAAAGCATTTTTTAAAATGAGTTGAAATTAAAGAAGGACTACACTTACTAGAAAGGAAGAGAAGAAAGTTCTATTAGTCTGAAGTTTCAGAATCCCCCGAAACCAGGACCGGTATCTTGGGAAAGGCTAGGCTGAGACTGCAGACAGATTATGAGTGTGTGCACATAGCATCCCTGAGGGTTCAGAGCGTCAGTGGACTGCGAGGGCTCCAGCTGCAGAACTCACTGAACTGCCTTGCCAGTTTCTGCACTGGCTTGACTGGGCATAATTCAAAAAGGAAAAGCTCATATTCATTGCATTCTTCTGGAGCTCTGTGATAGCATTTGATTACACCCCGTGGGATGTCTTCCACATATAGCACTATGGTATTTCTTCAAGTAATTACTAAAAGATACAAGGTCTAATTGCTCTATAATACTCGTAACCATTTTAGCGGGATATTCAGTGGATCCATAAATCTCCACCTGCGACTGATCATAGTAACTGTAACGGAAGCTTTGACCCCAATGACAGAAATCAGAAGAAACTACAGAGAGATTACTAGGAGCTGCTAGATATTTACTGAAGAGTTTTCCGAATTCCTGTTCTTTTGACTCAGAACTCCAACCAGCACAGGAATAATGGTAAACTCATCCTTATGGCTTTCCATGGCTTTAGCTGTATAAGGCAAATGCATTTCAATACTGTGTTCATCTTCATCTGTTTGCAGACATGCGTTCAAACATTCCTGTCTTCCACAGTTCTCTGTAAATCTTTTGGTCAATATGAAGGTTATTCAGAGGTGTGCTATATATATCCACACTGGGATATGGATTATATTAGTTTTAATTTCAATCAGGAACCTGTAAAATTATCAAGCTGATTATGTTTCCCAGAGGAAATCCAAGGTATAAAATAAATAAGGTTTTGAATTATTTCATATATCTAGTTTTTGTTTGTTTTGTAACTTACAGATCAGAGGAAGGAGGGGAGCCATCTTCCCAAAGCCAAGTTCTGCGGACTTCATCCTGGGAGAGCCCTACCCAATAACCCATGCTCCTTTCAATCTTGCTGGTGATAAAATCCTGTAGGAAACAAGACCTGAACTGTGAGTTGAGAAAAACAAGCAAGCAGACAGACAGACAAATTCTACATCTCTCCTGTGAAATGCAAAGTACGACATTTTACTTAGCTAGAAATTAAGGGGAACTTGAGAGATGGACAGAGAGAGATGGGGCATTTTTTAAAAATGGGAATATACTTTGTAGACTGTTTCCTATATGATCAAATAGATATCCAGTATGAAAATAGTCTTAACAGATTAGGTCTGGTGGGTAAAATATGTCAAGAAAGGTAAGTGTTATACTGAGCCTGAATCATCAGGAGCAACAATTTCCTTGACCCCGCAGTTCACATAGAACGTTTTTTCCTAAGTTACTTCAATATATGAAATAGTTTAAGAGATTCCAGAAGCAAGTTCACTGTAGGTATATTTTGTCAGAAGAAACATTTCTAATTTTTACCATCAAATTTGCACCAAAAATGAACCTGTAATTGTAATAATTTAGTTCAAGTCTTCTTGGTTCGCTGCATCTCCTTAGTAAATGGATTCCCCATTATTCTTGTATAAATGAATTGCAGCTAAGTACTGACTATAACAGGGATGTCTTTTTCATAAAGCCTGGGATGCTTAATTGTGTATTCTATTTCCTACATATTTATGGTAGAATGATTTCAGGGAAATATCATACTGTTTACTTATTAAGATGTTAGTAAACTAGGCTTAATGTCAATTAAAGATTTCACTTAGAAAGTATTTTTTTAACATTTACTTATTTATTTGAAAGGCAGAGTTTCAGAGAGAAAGAGGCAGAAAGATCATCTGTCCATGGGTTCACTTCCCTGATGGCCACAATGGCTAGTCCTGGGCTGTACCAAAGATAGGGGCCAGGAGCTTCATCTGGGTCCCCTCCATGGGTATCAGAGGACCAAGCACTTGAACCATCTGCTTTTCCCAGGTCATTAGAAGGGAGTGGACTGAAAGTGGAGCAGCCAGAACCCAAACCCACATGGGGGCCAGCACCGCGGCTCAATAGGCTAATCCTCTGCCTGCAGTGCCGGCATCCCGGGGTTCTAGTCCCGGTTGGGGCACCGGATTCTGTCCCGTTTGCTCCTCTTCCAGTCCAGCTCTCTGCTGTGGCCTGGGAAGGCAGTGGAGGATGGCCCAAGTCCTTGGGCCCTGCACCCGCATGGGAGACCAGGAGAAGCACCTGGCTCCTGGCTTCAGATCAGCGCGGTGCGCCCGGCCGCAGCAGCCATTTGGGAGTGAACCAACGGAAAAAGGAAGACCTTTCTCTCCATCTTGCTCTCTCACTGTCCACTCTGCCTGTCAAAAAAAAAAAAAAATATATGGGATGCCAGCATCACAGGCTGCAGCTTTACCCACTACACCACAATGCCAGCCCCAATGAGTGTGTTTCTTAGAGTAGATTAGTATGTCACAAAACGGTATTCCCTTTTCCCCATCTCCTCCTTTTTTTAAATTAACTAAGGGCATAGAACTGAGATACTGCTCTTGACATCTGGATAATCAAATCGGATTTTTTTGTTTGTTTAAACAAATTATACTAATTCCTTCTTTGTCTTTTTGAAAACATGTATTTTAGCAAATATACTACTGTTACAAAATAGTAAAGATTTTATCTTGTGAGAATCTTTGCTTTCTTTTAATAGGGAACATGGTATTTCCAGAATGACAGGAGACCGTAAAATAGTTCTTACCATTTCTTCTTTGTTGTCTATATGTAGAAGACTGGAACCTGTCTTCCAACAATATTCTTGACTGGCAAGCCAAGTTTTCCAATTTGTAAAGACATAGTAGCAACTTTCTCCATTCTTAATCCAATTTTCTGGACAAGCACTGCATTTCTCGACTTTGAATGCAAACATTTTACTCTATTATCATCATAAAATATTAGAAGCACATCTCCCCAAATAATTCTGCCTTAGCCCCAGAGCAGCTAATTAGTGCAAATAACAGTATTTAGCAATTCCAGGTTCTCTGAGGCCATATACTGTAAGATTTATATAATAATTTCTACATGCAGTAGATCTGTAAGAATTGGTTTAAGATAAAATTAATTTGAAGTACGTTTACCCAAATCTCTCACCTTCTATACAATGTTATCTTGTTATTTAAATTTCATTAACTTTCTTTTAAAAAAAGATTTACTTACTTATTTGAAAGACAGAGTTACAGGGAGAGAGAGAGAGTGAGACAGATAGTCAAAGAGATCTTCCATCTACTGGTTCACTCCCCAAATGGCTGCAACAGCCAAGGCTGGACCGGGCCAAAGCTAAAAGCCAGAAGTTTCATCTGGGTCCCCCACATGGCTGGCAAGGGCCCAAGCATTTGAAGCATCCTCTGCTGCTTTACCAGGTCATTAGCAGGGAACTGGATTGGAAGTGGAGCAGCTGGGACATGAAAAGGTGCCCATATGGGATGCCAGTGTAACAGGTGGTACCTTAACCAGCTATACCACAATGCTGGTCTTTCAATCTTTCCTTAAATTTGCATCCTTTATAGTCTTCACTTACCTGCTTACTGTTTAATTTCTGTTAATCTAAGTGCCCCAGTGTATAAAAAAATATGTTGAGCCATTAGATGGTTGAGTAATAAGACTTTAATCAATGTTCAAATTTTGAGGATTAAACAATAAAATATTTTATATATAATGGAAAGAACAAATAATCTGCCTTAGAGATTTGATAGCATGTAATTGAGGGAAAATGGAGGAATATAAATGGACAATATGCTTATTTTAAGATTCCAATATATTTAAGAAGCAAGCCTTAATGTTTAATAACATTAAAGAATTCCATCTTAAGAAAAAATGTATTCACAAAAGAATAATCATCAAGTGCGTAAAATGTAAACCAAAGAGCAAAGTTTGTACGCGTGATTCTGGTACACTCTTATAGGAGAGATGTTAAAACTTCCAGAACTCATTTCCAGAGAGAGTTGTTCTATTTAGGGTGAGATATTGTTCCTTAGTAGTTTCCATTCCTTTAAGGCTCTTCTACATTCTTTGGAATCCATGCTAATCAGCGTTCTGATGGTATCAGGAGCATTGGCAATGGTATTGGAGGGGTTACAGAATGTGTTGGATTTGATTTGTAGGTCTCCAACATGGTATTTTCCCTGTATTCAAAGCTGATGGTTCAGAGGTGAGCCTAACTCATGTTTGTAATAGCCTGCAATGGATGAAAACATTGTTGGGCACACAATGACTCTTCAAACACTTATTTATTAAATTTTAATCAGAGAGTACCATGGCAGATTTTCAACCTACCTCATTGGCAGTTTCAGCTATCGCTTGATACTGGGGGGAGGTAGTTTCTGGGACCCCCATGGACACTACAATCTGGATTCTCATGTCTCTTATATAACATGACACACTAGCTGCACATAACCTTCTCACAGCCTCCTGCATGCATCCTATCACCTCCAGATCAGCCTCAGTGTCTAATAGAACACTTGCCCTCCACTTGATTCACACGCATTCAGGATAGTATCCAGCAGAAGGTAAATTTAGGTTTTGCTTTTTGGAACTTCCTGGAATTTTTTCCAAATACTTTCTATTAGTGATTGACTGAATGCACAGAGGCAGAGTCTGCAGATATGAAGAGTTAACTGTGTTTAAGTGCTTTTCATTACCAGGGAGTGAGTTCTCATTTATGTGTACAAGTATTATCAAATGCTAACTAACAATTATGTCCCTTCATCTTATATCTAGGACAATATAGACTTAAATTGAGCAATAATATGTCACTTATGGTGACTTTGGAATAAATATGGTGTTGTTAAAATATTTGCAGCATTGGAAACTTGGGACCTAATAGCTTAGGTAATCATATAATACTTGACACACTGTACAACATGTAAAAATAGATCATTTTAGATTTAAAATGCCTCTAAGAAATATAACCAGTAAAACTAGAGTAACTTTATAGAATTTTTAAAAAGAAGTGAATCCTGCAGTTATAATAATTGTGTGGTAAATATTTTCCATGGTCAAAATGAATTGTATGCTCAGTTACTTAAACTTGAATCTAAAGCAAGACCTAGACTAATAATATTGGGAAATTTGAAGCTAGAATTAAATATATACTTAGAAATTTAGTGACTGGATCAAATAAAGTATTACTTTTCTTAATTTTTAAATCTGACCAACTACTTGAGAGAGAGAGAGAGAGAGAAATGGATTTTCTATTCGCTGCTTCACTTTTTTTTTTTACAGGCAGCGTGGACAGTGAGAGAGAGAGAGAGACAGAGAGAAAGGTCTTCTTTTGCCGTTGGTTCACCCTCCAATGGCCGCCGTGGCCGGCCCGCTGCACCGCGCTGATCCAAAGGCAGGAGCCAGGTACTTCTCCTGGTCTCCCATGGGGTGCAGGGCCCAAGCACTCGGGCCATTCTCCACTGCACTCCTGGGCCACAGCAAAGAGCTGGCCTGGAAGAGGGGCAACCAGGACAGAATCCGGCGCCCCGACCAGGACTAGAACCCGGTGTGCCGGCGCCGCAAGGCGGAGGATTAGCCTATTGAGCCGCGGCGCCAGCTCTGCTGCTTCACTTTCAAAATGGTCTCAACAGCCAGGTTTGGCCAGGCCAGAAACCAGGAGCCCAGGAGCTTCATCTGGGTCTCCCAGGTCCCACATACTATTGAGAGCTGTAAATAAGATTGTCCTGAAGATGGTTCAAAATTAGGTCTCTCCTACTATAAAATCCTAACTAACAAACTTGCAAAGAATCCCCTGGGTGTCACTGTTCTTTTGAGGATTTGGGGCATGCATCTGGAACTGCATGGTAGAAACTGGTTTTCTGTCAATTACCTGAATTGAGACAGTTTTGTATGAGAGCCTGGCAGTGCTGCCTCTGAAGCAGAGGGTTACTCTTCCACCGGGTGAGGTTTAACAGTGCTCTGTCCTGTTGGCTCAGTTTCTCTTGCTGCTCCATTGCCATGATGGACACCTGGAACCCTTCAAACAACAGCAATCATTCCTAATAAAACACTGAGTTTCATAGCGAAACCATCTTTCAACCCAGACAAAAGACAACTACAAGCTACTGACTTTTAAGGCTTGCTTTTGCATTATTTTGTCTTTCTTTAAAATTCATATTGTTCAAGAATCGAAAGCCACAAAGGATGCAGAACAAACTGCCTCTGCCAGCCTTGCTTGCTTTATGGTAGACCTGATTTCATTTCCCTAAGGCAGGCAGGTTTACTAACTTTTTTTTTTTTTTTTTTTTGAAAGACAGTTACAGGCCGGCGCCACGGCTCAATAGGCTAATCCGCCGCCTGCAGCGCCGGCACACCGGGTTCTAGTCCTGGTCGGGGCGCCGGATTCTGTCCCGGTTGCTCCTCTTCCTGTCCAGCTCTCTGCTGTGGCCCGGGAGTGCAGTGGAGGATGGCTGCAACAGCCGGAGCTGCAACAATCCAGAGCCAGGAGCCAGGAGTTTCTTCCAGGTCTCCCACACGGGTACAGGGGCCCAAGAATTTGGGCCATCTTCTACTGCTCTCCCAGGCCACAGCAGAGAGCTGGGTCAGAAGAGGAGCAGCCGTGACTAGAACCGGTGCCCATATGGGATGCCAGGACTTTCACCCACTGTACCACAGCGCTGGCCCCACCAGTAAAGTTTCTATGAATGCTCATGTGCAAGTGTTTGTGTGAACATACATGTAGTTCCTGTGTTGTAAGAAGTATCAAGGGGCTGGCTCCATGGTGCAGCAGGTTAATCCTCTGCCTGTAGAACAAGCATCCCATATGGGTGCCCCTCTTCCAATCCAGCTCTCTGCTATGGCCTGGGAAAAGCAGTAGAAGATGGCTTAAGTGCTTGGGCCCCTGCATGCATGTGGGATACCTGGATGAAGCTCCTGGCTCAGTGGATGAAAGAGTCTTGCTCTCTCACTCTCTTGCTCTCACTCTAACTCTGTCTTTCAAGTAAACAAATAAATCTGTTTAAAAAAGAAAAACTGCTACAGTTTTCTAGACTGGCTCTACCATTCATATTCTCATCAGGAACATACGAGTTATTCAGCTTCTCTGTTCCTATACAAGCATTTCTTTTTTTAAATTTAATTAATTAATTAATTTTTAGAGGTAGAGTTACAGAGGGAGAAGCAGACAGAAAGGTCTTCCATATGCTGGTTCACTCCCAGATAACCACAACTGCCAGAACTGGGTCACTCCGGAGCCAGGAGCTTCTTCTGGGTGTCCCACACGGGTGCAGGGGCCCAAACACCTGAGCCATCTTCCTCTGCTTTCCCAGGCCATAAGCAGAGAGCTGGATCAGCAATGGAGTAGCCGGGGCCGCAGGCGGAGGATTAGCTTATTGAGCCGCGGCGCCGGCACGCTGGGTTCTAGTGCCGGTCGGGGCGCTGGATTCTGTCCCGATTGCCCCTCTTCCAGGCCAGCTCTCTGCTGTGGCCCGGGAGTGCAGTGGAGGACGGCCCAAGTGCTTGGGCCCTGCACCCCATGGGAGACCAGGATAAGTACCTGGCTCCTGCCATCGGATCAGCGCGGTGCACCGGCCACAGCGCGCCAGCCGCGGCGGCCATTGGAGGGTGAACCAACAGCAAAAGGAAGACCTTTCTCTCCGTCTCTCTCTCTCTCTCTCACTGTCCACTCTGCCTGTAAAAGAAAGAGAGAAAGGAAGAGAGAAAGGAAGAGAGAAAGGGAGGGAGAAAGGGAGGGAGAAAGAAAGAGAGAGAGTAGCCGGGACTTGAGCCAGTGCCCATATGGGATGGTGGCACTGCAGGTGGTGGCCTTACCTGCTACACCACAGCACCAGTCCCCAACATCTTCTTATACTTATTTTATATCTTTATATTCTCCTTGGTAAAATGTTTTTTCATGTTTTTTGCATTTTCTAATTGAATGATTTTTTTAGCTACTGAATCTTGAGAACTCTTTATACATTCTAGATTTTAATTTTTTGTCAGTTACTGGTTTGCAAGTATTTTCTCCCAGTCTATAAATTTTTAGCCTCTTGGTGTCTTTTACAGTGCAAGCATTTTAAATATTTGTACTGTTTATTTATATTTACTTAAAAAGCAGAGAGAAAGAGAGATCTTCCATCCACTGGTTCACTCCCCAAATGGCTGTAATAGTGGAGTTAGATCAGGTCAAAGCCAGGAGAGAGAGATCCATTGGTTCACTCCTCAAATGGCCGCAATAGTGGGGGTTGGGCCAGGCAGAAGCCAGGAGCGAGACACTCAATCCTGGTCTCCCATGTTGGTGGCAGAGACCCAAGTATTTAAGGGTGCACATTAACAGGAAGTTAGATCAGCAGCAGAAACAGAACCCAGCTGGACCTCTGATATAGGATGTGGGCATCCTAGTTGGCAGCTTAACCCCTGCCCCTGACTTAACCTTGATAAGTTCCATCAAGCTTTTTAATTTTCCTTTTATTAATCATTGTTTTGATGTCCACAGACTCTTTTGCCTACTGTCCCTGAGATACTGAAGATTTTTCCTATATATTTTTTAAAGATTTATTTATTTATTTGAAAGAATTACACAGAGAGAGAAGGAGAGGCAGAGAGAGAGAGTCTTCCATCCTCTGGTTCACTCCCCAGATGGCCGCAATGGCTGGAGCTGCACCTATCCGAAGCCAGGAGCCAGGAGCTTCTTCTGGGTCTCCTATATGGGTGCAGGGGCCCAGGCTTCCACTGCCCTCCCAGGCCATAGCAGAGAGCTGGATCATATGTAGAGCAACTGGGACTCAAACCAGCACCCATATGGGATGCTGGCACTGCAGGCAGCGGCCTTACCTGCTGTGCCACAGCGCCAACCCCTCCTATATTTCTTAAATGTTTTCTAATTTTATGCTTTATGTTTAAGACTGTGACCCATGTTGAATTATTTTTTTCTATGAGATTTGAGACTTAGGCTGACTTTTTTAATATAAATGCCTAATTTTTATAATACTGTTAAAGTCATTTTCTCCCATTGAATTGATTTTGCACCTATATAAAAAATCAATTAGGAATATTTGTATAAGTCTATTTCTAGGCTGTTGTATTTTATTACTTTATCTGTGCAATAAAACATATAGCCATGATTCATATAGCTGTTAAGTTTTGAAATCAGGTAGATTGATTCCTCCCAATTTATTCTCATTTTAAAAATTGTTTTAACTCAGGCCGGCGCCGCGGCTCACTAGGCTAATCCTCCGCCTAGCGGCGCCGGCACACCGGGTTCTAGTCCCGGTTGGGGCGCCGGATTCTGTCCCGGTTGCCCCTCTTCCAGGCCAGCCCTCTGCTGTGGCCCGGGAGTGCAGTGGAGGATGGCCCAGGTTCTTGGGCCCTGCACCCCATGGGAGACCAGGAAAAGCACCTGGCTCCTGGCTCCTGCCATCGGATCAGCGCGGTGTGCCGGCCACAGCGTGCCGGCCGCGGCGGCCATTGGAGGGTGAACCAACGGCAAAGGAAGACCTTTCTCTCTGTCTCTCTCTCACTGTCCACTCTGCCTGTCAAAAAAAAATAAAAATTAAAAAAAATAAAAATTAAAAAAAATTGTTTTAACTCTTCTAGTAATCTCATCTCTATTCACATTAAATCTTTCTGAGATCTTTATAGGAATTGCATTAGCCTTGTACAATTTGCTGAGGGAAATTGACATCTTTTATAAGTTGGGCCTCCAACCCGTGGACATGCATGTCTCCATTTATTTAGATTTTTTATTTCTTTCATCAGTGTTCTGTAATTTTTAGCACACAAGTTTTGTATACATGGTATTAAATTGACATATGTCACTGTTTTTGAGTGTCAGTGGTACTGCATTTTTAACTTGGTGTCCTTGTGTTCGCTTATAGAGAACACCATCAGTTAGGACATGTTGACCTTGTATTTGTGACCTTGCTGTCCACCTTCCTTAATTCTGGGTTGGAGGCTATGTCACTTACATCTACTGTGCACAATTGGTTTAACAGAGTTATACAATTAATTTAAAATAAGTTCATGATATAAGAATAACTAATAAGCTACAGTTATTAAGTGGACATGTTATATAGGAAGAAAGGATGACATCAAGGAAATAAGTTAATGAATTAATAAAAAGATTTTTCAAATATTAGACCTGAGGAAGTGAAAAAAGAAATTGGGAAAAAGAAAAACAAAATTGAAAGAAAAAACAGGACAATGAATAGGCAGAACTGTAATGTTCCCCTTGAGCCACCAGGGGGTGTTAACCAAACAAAAGAACTGTGCCACCAACCAAATGCCACTTCTTACAGGGTAATGGAGTATCAGGAAAATGCAAATCCGATGAATATTAATTCAGGTTGGTTAAAATTAATTCTAGTTAGCTCTTCTTCAAAGGGTGATTTGTATACAGTTTGGCTGTGCTACTAAACAGAATATTATTGTGAAAGGGAAGAATATGTAAAAAAAAATTTGCATTAGTGCTTTGTTCATCTCCACATTAACTAACCAAGAAGGCAAACATAATACAACATTGAGTTACATACCCTGTTCTATTTCACTCATCAACTTGGATTATCTTCTTTCTTAGCAAAGGCTGGACTTAACCAGAGTGGGCATTAGGCCAGAAATAGGCTCTTTTTTCCTACTAATAATCTAGCACGTTTAGACATTGAAAAAGTAGTTTCCTGTTTAGTATTTGATATAATTTTAAATTTGGATGAGCTTTTTTAATATTAGCTACATATTAGATGTTCCCTAATACTACATAAAACTGGAACAAAACTGGAGAAAGGGAAATGAGACTTCTCTTTAGAGTTTTACCCTAAACAAGAAGTAAAATACTGTACCTTCATTTTGGTGTGCAGGTTGTGATCCTTTTTCAAGAAGTGAGGAATAAAAACTAAATAATATAATTACTGGGGAAATTTAACAAAATACTTCTAAGGTCCCTCAAATAAATGTACTTATTATGTTACATATGAGACCTATTTGATGAACTAAAAAGGAAAACAGTAAAAAAAAAAATGAAAAGGTGAATTTATTATAAATTATTTTGCACTCTATAGTTTTTAAATCAAAAAGTCAATTAGTATAAATAATATGCTTAAAAAAATAAACAGAAGCAGAGGCGAACGTCGTGGCCAGGACAAGCAGTTATTGGTGAATATGTGATAAAGCTGCTTCTTGCCTACATAACTGTTTGTCATGGTGACCAGCTTTATTTTTGAAACAGCTGAAGTGCTAAAAACGTCTGACAAGACTGAGGTGAAAGATAAAGTTGTGAACAACAGTAACAAAATTCAACAAACTACGGGAGAAAGTATTTCACGTTTGTACACCGACAGTGTATGTGTGCAGATATCATTAAGACAAAAGCAGAAACTTTCCTTTGTAATAATTTTCCCAAAATCACTGAAAGTCTCAAACACAGTATTTTTTTGTCAGGTTCCAATTACCCTCATCAAAGTAATACTTTTTTCACACAATTTTTGTTCTGTGTTAGAATTTTTTAAAATACATTCTATATTTAGGGGACTAAAATATAAACCCACAAAAAGTAAGCACTGAAAAACTTTATTCTCATCATTGTCAGTGTAGGTCCCTCCTGCCTTCCCTTCTACTTATTTTTTATATATCCTTCCTTTGTTACTTTGCAAATTCGAAAACATAGTCCTCAAATGGTGGTACAGTATATACATTATTTTGAGTGTTACTTTTTTCACTTAACTCTGTTTTACGATGGCATTTCCATATCCATAAGGCACCCCCCTCCCCCTTTCCCTCTCCATCCTCCTCCTCTTCCTCCACTTCCTCCTTGGCTTTATGGCATTCCATTGTACCATTGTTTATTTAAGTGGTCTTTTATTGATGACAAGCATTTGTTTTTTTTCCAATCTTTTTTTTTCCCTATTGCTCCCTGTGCAGATTAATCTTTAGAAGAAATTTCTAAAAGTGGTGTTGCTGAGTCAAAATTAATCCAGTTTTTTAAGATAACTCAGAGTATCTTAGGAACAGGAAGACATTTATCCACACAGACTCAGTGGTTTAACCAACTGAGCTCATGTGTTAGAGAAGACAAAATTGTGTATACATTGGACAGCAAGTATTTTTGAGGACATGGAAAAGTGTACAGTGTAGTCTTATAAAGATCCTTTATGTATATAATGTAATTTCTCACAAATAGTTTGTAGTTGGATGCTATACATTTATTTTTATAGAAAAACCAAATTGTATATTCTATTTACTTGGCAATACCACTTAAAGATGGTATATCTTCTATTAATGTTGCTTCTAATTAAAGACGTTTATTATATTTTTTCTACCTCAATTTGTTAATATTTTTACAACAAACATTGAAACTCATTATCCAGAATTCATATTTGAAGCATCATTAGATATTTTCATTGTGATTGAAATATGAATTCTTATATTATGGAGTTATGATGGTGCTTGGCAATTTTTCATTAAAAGTCCCCAGCTTGGAGGCAAGCATTTGGCTTTGTGGCTAAAATGCCCACATCCCATGTTGGAGTGCCTGTGTTCAAGTCCCGGCTCTGCTCCTGACTCCAGCTTCCTGCAGGAAGGCAGCAGGGATCTTAAGTAGTTAGTTCCCTGTCACCCAGCTAAGAGTCTGGCTAGAATTCCCAGGTCCCGGCTTCAGCTTGGCCCGTCCTACAGCATTTGAAGAGTGAACCAGCCAATGAGAAGGGAAGGTAGTAAGAGATATGGAAAGCTTTCTGGAAGTTCTAATCTTTCCAATGGGCTGTGAAATTTTGTTTGAGAAGATAGGGTAAGAATTGCTGATTGAGATCTTAGTAATTCTTAAAACATTTCTCTATGAACCATCAGAGAAATGAAACTCAAAGCATTAGGGGAGTCAGGTCAAGCTTTTATCCTTTGTGGAAGCAAATCTGAACTTTCCCTTCCCCATTCACAAGGTTTAGAGTTCATCCTCTACATCTGAGTCTCCAAGACAGAGACATAACTTGCCAAGGAATACAGAAAAGAAAGATTATGCGAATGGTAACCTCCATCTCTGTCTTCCAAGACATATTTTCTTTATTAAAAATATTTATTGATTTATTTATTATTTGAAAGGCAGAATTATGCAGAGAGAAAGAGATCTTCCATCTGCTGACTTAGTCCCAAATGCTCACAACAGCTGGAGTTGAGCCAGGCCAAAGCCAGGAGGCAGGAGCCAGGAGCTTCCTCGAGGTCTCCCACAGGAGTGCAGAGGCCCATGCACTTGGGCCATCTTCTGCTGCTTTCCCACCACTTTGCAAGGAGCTGGCAACCAGGACATGAACAGGTGCCCATATGGGTTGCTGACACTGCAGGTGGCTGCTTTACCTGCTTCACCACAATGCCAGCCCTTCCAGGCATATTTTCTTAGAGCCAGCATGGATGGTATTAGAGGTGCTTAGAGTTGTTTGTTTTCTGGAATCTGCAGCTCTGTAATTATTACATTTTATATGATATTATTAACATATATTAATATCATTAAATTATATCATGAAAATTTCACTTGCCAGACATAAACACATGTCTCCAATTTGGATCAAAAAGCATAAAGCAATGTGGTTAAATAATAGATCAAGTAAATCTCTCAGGTTTGCATTAAATAATTTAAATTGTAAGTTGCCTAATGCACAATGTAACAGTTATTAAAATCTGTAAAGTCAAGTTTAGAACAAATGCAAATTAGAAATGTAAGAGCATATTCAGAAATCTTTCAAATTGTGTACTTCAGCATTCTAACATGACTCACAAATTAAATCAGAATAAAAGCAATTATTTGTATTGTTTCCCAAAGAGACTTGTGGCATTAGAGTTGAGTTAACTAACATGCGCTTGATCATTGAAAGCCATCAGTGGCATCAGACCATTATGTCAAATAAATGTTTTATCATTTAAGTTAGGAAATCCTTACTTTATATCAGTTATATGCCCTCAGATGTTTCTTAATTTACTCCTCATTCATTTATAACTTGCAAAGGTTTTACATGGTGATACGTGCATTTCACTTTATAGATACAGCTATATGTAGTAAATAGCACAGAGACAGGTTGTTTTGAAGGTAACCTTTTGTACTTACATTTGATGCCAAAAAAAATGGATGTTGCCAATAATCCCATGCAGGAAATACACAAAATCACCATCACGACACGCCATGCTCCTAAATGTGGAGTAGGGACATTGAAATTGAGTTACAGAAAGTAGAAATATGGGGCTGGGCTTAGGCTAAGATGAAATAGAATAAAAGAAGGAGTTAACACAGGGAAATTGAGAATTGTTGGGACTTGGAATTCTTAACTTTGTAGAAGAGGAAAAGGGGAGCCCTTTGCTTAAACTCTTTGAAATGCCAGAATATGCTGGAAAATGTCAAATTAGACAATAGTGTACTTGTATTAGCCTTATATATGATGTTGCAGTCTTGCTAATTATATGTATTCTTTTCAACGATATTTTAGGGATGATCACAAGTCAAGTGGTAAGCTTTCATTACTGAGAGCAAGAGTGCCATCTCACATTGCCCCCTCTCCAGTGTCACTTGAACATGATTAATTCAAAGATATTTTATTTTAAATATAAAATTTTGGATTTGGAACTGATTTTCCCATTAAATTTACCCATTCCAGGAAGGAAAAATAAGGAATGTGTGATTTGTTTGAGTCTTAACACTAATCAGAGAAAAAACAGCAAAATTTCTCTTTAGGAGGCAGACTTTGGTGCAGTAGTTAATTTAGATGCTGCTTGGGAAACCCACACCCCATATTAGAGTGCTTGATTTGAGTCCGCACTCCTCCACTTCCAATACAGCCTTCTGCCAATGCACACCAGGGAGGCAGCAGGTGCTGACTTAAGTAGTTGGGTCCCAGTTTCAGCTTGGTCCAACCCAGGTGTTACACACATTCAGTGTGTGGACCAACAGATGGAAGTACACACTCTCTCTCTGGCTTTTAAAAATTTATCTCTGGATAGTCTGGGTAATGGCCCAGCCCAAGATGCTTATGTCCGAATCCCTGGACTCCTTAAATACTTTGAAGATGTCTTTATGTTAAGGACTTGGGGATAAGGAGATCAGCCTTGCTTATCTGGATCCTCACAATCAGGAGTCGAGGAGGATGAAGTAGATTAGGATCATGGAAGCAGAGAAACACTTGAAGATGTTACCAGGAAAATCAACAAATGCTTCTCTAGAACCTAGAAAAGATGAGATAATAGATCTCCCCTTCAGCCCTGCTAATGCCTTGGTTTTAACCCAGTTTAGAGGTCAGAATAAATAAATAAGTAATTTCCTTTGCATTATCCCCCTAAGTCTATGGTGATTTGTTACAAAATTAATGCAGATATTAAATAATAAAAACAAGGGCAAGCATTTAGCACAGCTGTTACATCACCACTTGGGATGCCTGTATCCCATATCAGGTTGCCTGTCCAGTCCTTGCTCCACTTCCCATCCAGCTTCCTGCTAATGTGCACCCTGGGAGGCAACAGGATCCCTGCCACCCTCATAGGAAATCCAGATTGGGTTCCAGATTCCTGGTTTTGGCCTGGCCCAGCACTGCTGTTACAGGCATTTGAGGAGTGAACCAACAAATAGAAGAGTCAGTCAGTCTCTCTCTCTCTCTCTCTCTCCTTTTCAAGTAAAATGAACATAGATAAATAATAAAAACAACTGATTACTATAGCAGACAACTCAAGGCTGATAACATTTTGCCAGTTTCTCGACTTTTTTTTCTTTATTTCTTAGTATTATGAGATAATTTGCAGGCTGTTTTGCTCAGGAACTAAAATATTAAAATTATATGGTTTCTTTCACTGATTTTCCAAACTCAAGAATTCATTGGCTATTCCTAAAGGACAGGAAAGAAGTAGCCCGTGTTTTTCAGGTCCAGTGAACTTTTCCTTCTTCCCTTTACTTCCTCCTCCTCCACTTCACTTCATTTATCATAATATGTGTGGTATCAAACTCTTAAATTTGGTATCTCAGATTAGAAGAAATATCTTTGGGGGCCAGCACTGTGGTGTAGCGGGTAAACCGCTGCCTGCAATGCTGGCATCCCATATGGGCACTGGTTGGAGTCCCGGCCATTCCACTTCCTATCCAGCTCTCTGCTATGGCCTGGGAAAGCAGTACAAGATGGATCATGTCCTTGGGCCCCTGCACCCACGTGGGAGACCTGGAAGAAGCTCCTGGCTCCTGGCTTCAGATCAGCACAGGTCTGGCCGTGGCAGCCAATTGGGGAGTGAACCAGCAGATGGAAGGCATTCATATTCATTCATTCTCTCTCTCTCCCACTCTCTCTCTCTTTCTCTCTCTTTCCACCTCTCTCTCTCTCCCTCTCTCTGCTTCTCCTTCTCTCTCTGTTAACTCTTTCAAATAAATAAATAAATCTTTAAAAATATCTTTGGCTCCTAACAGAAGAGCAAACAAAATATACACATTAGTCTTACGCTAAATTGTGAGAACAGCTTACCTGAACAGGTGTGGGAACACGCACATTTCTGGGAAGAGTTTGGTGGTGGATTATCCCACTGAAGAGAGGTGTATATTTCTTCCTCGTGCATGTCTGAGACACCTGCCTGGAGGAAGCAGTCCACACAGTGGATTAGGAGCTGGTTGGTGAAAGAACTGAAATCAGCCTCTTTTTCATAGTAATGGAAAAATATGTTTGAATCTAAGCAGTAGATGCCTTTTCATCTGGAAAGTGGAAGTCTGAAGTTTAAGCCACAGCACAATTTGGTGAAGGGGGAAATGAAAACCTAATCCAAAACAGCCAACCAAAGAATATGTTATTGTTCTGATTCCCAAAATATGGCAGATGCTTTATTTTGTTTGTTCTTTTTTTTTTAAGATTTATTTATTTGAGGCAGTCGCCGCGGCTCACTAGGCTAATCCTCCGCCTGCGGCGCCAGCACACCAGGTTCTAGCCCCAGTCAGGGCGCCAGATTCTGTCCTGGTTTCTCCTCTTCCAGGCCAGCTCTCTGCTGTGGCCCGGGAGTGCAGTGGAGGATGGCCCAAGTGCTTGGGCCCTGCACCCCATGGGAGACCAGGAGGGGCACCTGGCTCCTGGCTTCAGATCAGCGTGGTGCACCGGCCACAGCGCGCTGGCCGCTGGAGGGTGAACCAACGGCAAAAGGAAGACCTTTCTGTCTCTGTCTCTCTCACTGTCCACTCTGCCTGTAAAAAAAAAAAAAAAAAGATTTGAAAGGCAGAATGACAGAGAAAGGGAGATAAAGAGTAGAGAAATCTTCCATCCACTGGTTCACACCCCAGATGGCCACAGCAGCCAGACCTGGGCCAGGCTGGAGCCAGGAGCTCCCTCTGGATCTCCCCTGTGGGTGCAGGGGCCCAAGCATTCTGACCATCATTTACTGCTTTCTCAAGTGCCTTAGCATGGAGCTGGATGCTGGCATTGCAAGCAGTGGCTCAACCCACTCCATCATAAATCTGGCCCTAGGTAGCAGATGTTGAAGGTGATAGCTTGGCATTACTGTTAAGAAAATGTTGGAAGTGCAAAGAATATATTTGTATTTAGTATAGGACACAAAGCATGGGGCTGGCCCACATAATGAAGATATCAAGATAATTCACATTAGGCCAACCAGGGTGTTGTAGATTGTTGTGTGTCTCCTTTAACAAGAAAGCTGGGAAGAGATTTCATCCCTAAAAATAAATTCACATACTGTTAATTAGGGTAATGCTAGCTAAAGATATCAGTTGTTTAACAATATAACAGTATATATATCAGTTGTTTAACTATATAACATTTTACCTCCAGTAAACTTGGTTAGTGGGCAGCTTCCCTCAAAATAGGACCTGGGCCACTTCTGTCTTATGAGACATTAGAATCCCTACTTTTATCCATAGAAAGGAAAATAGAAGGCAAACAAATCCCCAAGTGCTTATTGAAAGCTATAACCTTGAAGTTCCATGTGTCACTTTCACATTCACCAAGCAATGCCATGCCTATGTTTGTAAATAAATGCTGGGCTTATAAAAATGTAATTTTTGCCTGCGCAGCAAGCTTTCCCTAACAATTTCCTCTAGAAAGTAGGCATGAATTATGTAGTAGACAGAGAGCCATTTCTGCCACATCCTATGATTATAGCATTGGTACTGAGAAATTTGAGATTTTAACCATCATGCATCTTTTTGGCCCGATATCCTATGGCCAAAGGTCATGTCTCAGCAATTCAGAGTCAACAGTCTGCAAAACTGCAATGTTCTTTTTTGTTTCAACGTCTCTGTGGATCAACCACTTTCTCTATAACAGTCCTGTTTCAGGAAAGACACAAAGAGCCCACTCAAGAGGTGATCTTCAGTAAAGCATTTATTAAAAGGACTGTTCATAAAAATTTTGAAGCCAAAACTGGGTGGTAAAATATACACCTGGAACCTGTTATCACCCCTAGGTGAAGTGCAGGGTGCTTATTGAAACTGTGTAGCCTGCCTCATCAGGCCCACACAGCCATGCCAAACCAGGCAAAGCATAGAGAAAGTCGGTGGGATAAAAATCCTATCTCTGGAAATTTCCAGTGACTCCCATTGGTGGAACTAACTGGAGGCCAGAGGCTAAGTTTGTCCAGGTAATACACTCATGTGAGTTCAGCCTGCCAAGGTGCAGGGTGGAACTGATAGGATCTTCAGGAACAAATGGGAAATACTCATCACATGCTCCAGATATTTCAAATGATGTTCCTGCGATTGGGACCTGGGAGATAATGTGCCTTCACCCAAATAGCCTTTTTTTTTTTTAAGAAAACTTTTATTTAATAAATATAAATTTTGAAAGTACAACTTTTGGATTATAGCAGTTTTCCCTCCCATAACCACCCTCTCATCCACAAACCATCCCATCTCCTATGCCCTCTCCCATCCCATTCTTCATTAAAATTCATTTTTAATTATCTTCGTATACAGAAGAGCAATTTAGTATATACTAATTACAGATTGCACCCACACAGACACACAAAGTGTAGAGTACCATTTGAAGACTTTTTACCATTAATTTTCATAGTACAACACATTAAGGACAGAGGTCCTCCATGGGGAGTAGGTGCACAGTGACTCCCGTTGTTGATTTAACAATTGACACTCTTATTTATGATGTCAGTAATCACCAGAGGCTCTTGTCATGAGCTACCAAGGCTTTAGAAGCCTCTTGAGTTCACAAAGTCCGACCTTATTTAGACAAGGCCCTAGTCAAAGTGGAAGTTCTCTCCTCCCTTCAGAGAAAGTTACCTCCTCCTTTGATGACCCATTCTTTCCTCTGGGATCTCACTCACAGAGATCTTTCATTTAGGTCATGTTTTGCCACAGTGTCTTGGCTTTCCATACCTGAGAAACTCTCATGGGCTTTTTAGCCAGATCTGAATGCCTTAAAGGACTGATTTTGAGGCCAGAGTGCTGTTTAGGGCATTAGCCATTCTATGAGTCTGCTGTGTATCCCACTTCCCATGTTTGATCAGTCTCTCCTTTTTAATTCTATCAATTCAAATAGCCTTTAAAACGGGATAAGTTCTTTCTTGAGAAGAAAAAGAGGAAGAGAGCCTAATCATACACAATGTGCACCGAAACTCATGTCAGGAACACAGGCACAGAAGTTGAATATGTGGTAATTAGCTCCCAGTTGCTCTCTCATTTTATCAGCACTAAAAATCAAGCTCAGAAAGATCTGACTTTCCCAGATACAAGATATTGTCTGGGCCAGCACCGCGGCTCAACAGGCTAATCCTCCACCTTGTGGCGCCGGCACACCGGGTTCTAGTCCCGGTCGGGGCGCTGGATTCTGTCCCAGTTGCCCCTCTTCCAGGCCAACTCTCTGCTATGGCCCAGAAGTGCAGTGGAGGATGGCCCAAGTGCTTGGGCCCTGCACCCCATGGAAGACCAGAAGAAGCACTTGGTTCCTGCCTTTGGATCAGCACGGTGCGCTGGCCGCGGCGGCCATTGGAGGGTGAACCAATGGCAAAGGAAGACCTTTCTCTCTGTCTCTCTCACTGTCCACTCTGCCTGTAAAAAAAAAAAAAAGATATTGTCTGATACATGTCTTGGATGAAGCCAGTGGCATCTCCAAATGAAAGATGTTACTTATGTTACTTTAGATGTTTATCATCATACTATGTGTTGTTATATATTGGTCATTACATTCCAAGTACTCAAAATACTTTCACATGAATTTTTTAAAAAATATTTATTTGTGGTAGAATGAGAAGGCCATGCCAAGATGGCTGCGATAAGTGAGCATCAGTTACTCAGGAATGGCTTCAGAAACCACATGGCAACAGGCTGTGACTGGTTAGGGCATAAACTGCCCCTTGACTGGATTGGCTGCCTCAGCTATATAAGCTGCTGTACCAACTTAAATAAATGAGTCTGTGGGCTGCCTGCCTCTGGCCTGCTTTCACCTGACTCCTGGTGTCTGTGTGGTGACTCCGCGCCTCTGACCCCCACCACACTCCTCTCAGAACGAATCCACAGCAACATTTATTTTTGTTTATTTGAAAGGCAGAATTACAGAGAGAAAGAGAGAAACAGAGAAATAGATCTTCCATCTGCTGGTTCACTCCCCTAAATGGTCACAATACCCAGGTATGTGCCAGGTTGAAGCCAGGAGCTCCATCTGAGTCTCCCACATGGATGTCAGGAGGCCAAGCAATTGGGCCATCTTCCACTGCTTTCCCAGGCATATTAGCAGGGAGGTGGATTAGAAGTGGAACAGCCAATACTAAAACCAGTGCTCATATGAGATTCTGGAATGGCAGGCTATGGCTTAACCCGCTAATATTCCTCAACATCAGCCCCTCCAGATGAATTTTTAAATTTATTTATTTATTTGCAAAGCAGAGAAGTGGAGACAGAGAGAAAGCTCCCACTCTCAGATCCATTCCCCAAATGTCTGAGAATCAGGAACTCCATCCAGGTCTCCCATGTAGGCAACAGGGACCCAACCACTTGAGCCATCACCTGCCACCCACAGTGGTCTGCATTAGCAGGAAGATGGAATCCGGAGCAGAGCCAGGAACAAACTCAGGTACTCTGATTTCAGGTGCATGCGTCCCAACTGACATCTTTAAGATAACCACCCATCATATAAATTATTTTGATTTTCATAACAGGTCTGTGAAATTTGTATTAGTAGAAGCAATTGTAGAGAAAGTCAAATTTTGCTGACATCCACTGAGTGAGCTTCAAGTTCAGTATTAAATCAAATTCAGATCTTAGAATCTGTGTTGTTAAAAGCTGTGCTATTCTGATTTCACTATAAGATGTTTTAGGTATGAGTTCCAGAGAAGAGTCTTTGTAGCACACAGTTTTTTGTTTTGTTTTGTGGTTTTTTTTTTTTTTGGTTCATTTTATTGTGCTTTTTCTTCCATGCACTAAGATATTCTTCTTCTAAAATTTTTAAAGATTTGTTTAGTTGAAAGGAAAAGTGAGAGAGAGGGGAGGGAGAGACAGAGATCTTTCATTTGCTGGCTCAATCCCTAAATGGCTGCAGTGTCTGGGACTGTACCAGTCCAAAGCCAGGAGCCAGGAACTCCCTTTGGGTATCTCATGTGGGTGTTGGGGGCCCAAGCATTTG